CCCTCATTGTGTCAACGAGGAACAGCTGAAAGACTCATGGTATCCTGATTCATTTTATTCCATTGTTCTGCCTGGACCATTAGGAAAGCAATAGGTTCTTTCTCAGCCTTTTGTTTCCCTGAAATAAATCTCCCATAAAATCAAATCAGACATTCTTATTTGCCACATTTTTCTCTGAACTGCCCAAACATGAATTGATTTTAAAATGGTACAGCTCCTGTGCTTCCTTTTCAGTCTGAGCTGATGAGATTAACATACAATTTTACTTGTATTTTGGAGTATCAGTTACCACTTAGCATCGTGGGCTATAACCAGCATGACACACATAGGCTTAAGTTATCTCCTTGTTCAGTTTGAGCTTTTTGAATAACATCCTTTCTGGTACAAAAGCATTCAGATGTGCTGAACATACCTGAATAACATTACTGGACCATCAATTTAAAAGGTGTTTTCTCCATTGTTTGCAGTGTGTGTGTGTGTGTGTGTGTGTGTGTGTGTGTATGTGCGCGTGTGCGTGCATGCATGTATTTTTTGTATACATATATATGTGTATACATGTATATATGCTTTAAAAAGGGAGAACTTGGATTTTCACAAGAACTTTCTGTTCTAAACAATTCACACTCCTCTACTCAGGATCTCGCTGCATCCATCAGTGACAGTATACTGTTTAAATGTCTAGGTCATTTACATCAGTATGAAGAGGATTCGTGGCTTTTTATTACCTGATGCCATATTTGCAGAGTGAGAGATGTACTAAAGATTCCCAGTGAAGCATTCATCTTCTGTCCCAATGTCACATCTTTCCTAGCATCATCCTTGTCACCACCTGTACTCTTAATAAAACCACTTCAAAATGCAGCAGTATCCTGGATGACTGTCTCTACTCAATAGATCTTCAGCCTTCAGGGCCAAATCTCATAAAGATTTAGGTAAAACTGAAGCCAGTGGGACCTCTTGTGAGTTAAATGATACTAGTCTCTGTAGACATGAGCCCTGAAATAGCAACGGTCTTGCAAGGAAAAGGTGAATTGTATTAAAAGAATTGTGTGAGGAAACTAGCTCATCCCTTGGGGTATTTATATCTGGCTCAAATCTGCAGTAAGTTCCTCACTTTAAAACTTTCTCACTTCACATATTGAAAAGCAAACAAAATTGAAAAGAACATTGAAAATTATCTTAAAATCTGAAAAGCAAGCCATTTAGTAACGTTTGTTTGTAAGGATTACCATATTTGTAATAGAAGAAGTACGAGTTTTAAAAAGGAAACCCACTTTCTGTGTCTGCTTTTCAGTTGCTTAATTTTTTTCCCTCTTGCATACTTTAGCAATCATTCTCCCTCAGAGTTAATGAATTAGACCTAACTGCTTCTGCTGCACATGTATATGAAGACTGTAGAGTTTATAAGGTACTGAAAAGAACTGACATAGTGAGATATGGTAAATAAAATATTCAAGTAATTGAAACTTAAAAGCCAACTAAAATGTATGACATTTGACAAATGTGTCTTGGAGCTTAGCTACTGACCACTAAACATGAGAAATCTTGGTAAACACTTGAAAATGCAGCTCCTAGGTGCCTGTAGAATGCTTCTGACATTCCAAATCTTGCAGAATTAAAACAAGGAAATACATTTAAATAGCCAAGTTCTGAGGCTAATTCAAGAATAATAATTTATCCTTAACCTGTGCAGGGGGTGACAGATAGGGAAAACAAAATATTTGTAGGTTAAAGATGTGTCTACCTTAACTTGGAGTGTCCTGTTATCATTGGTCTGTATCACAAATTTAATGGTTTTTAAATGTATTTTTGTGCGTTCTACATTTCTTGATTTTTTTTTTGGATTTTTTTTAATTGTCATGGAAATTTTCTATAAAATGCAAATCACTTACCTGATATACTGAATGAGCAGTTAACAATCTAAGGATAAATCTGTATTTAGTATTATAGGGAGCTGTCGTGTTCTTACAAGTCTGTATTATAGAAAATTACTGCGCATGTGCGATAGATAATTTTCAAATATTAGTATATCGGATGTTTACACATTTTAAAAAAAACTCCTTTATGTACAGTCAGTAATAGCCTGCAAAATCTAGTCTAAAGCAAGTGTTTTTTTAGTAATAGAAACGCAAAGACCCGTTGGAATCTTGTACATGTTTAATATGTCATGTTTCAACCCACAGCAAACACATACAACTGTGCTATGAATCCCTGAAAAATTAGATTTCCAGTGGAATTGCTGTCACAGCCTTAACTATAGTATTATAAAAATGGTGCTTAAATACATTTATGTGCATGGATGTGGGTACCTCATATCTGATAAGAATTTAAGTGAGAATTTGAAGTGAAACTAAGCATTTTGGGTGCTGAAATTGCAAACACACTAATGCTCCTGTTAAGATTATACAACCATATTTGTGAATTTATCATAAAATATGTAAACTTACAGACAAATAGTAACAATTTCCTAGTTTTTTTTTTAAACTGGAAAATAATGTGTACTTTCTTGGTTCCTGTGTGCATTAAACATTTGCAAACAAAAGGTAGGGCAAGATGAGATTGCCTGGAATGTTTTAAAGAATGAGAGAGCCTGATTGTTTGAATGCAAGGAAAGTTGATGTTTTTGTGTTGGTACGGTGTGGCCATTCATTGTGGTTTCCCAGTTTTCTTTGAGAGACAAAAAAAAAAGCCCCACTTCTGTTTTTAAAAATACTTCCTCAGTGAGTGGTGGTCATCCCAATGTATTCATGTATCTAAGGTTGGGGGAGGGGGAGGGTTCTTATTTGTATTTTCACTAGGAATATATAATCTAAGCTATTCATTTCTTTATGTCAGAATCATTACAGCAGACTTTCATTTAGAAATATCAGTTTTTACAGTTGATGAGCTTGGAACAACAAATCTAGTGCTATCTAGGCTCTCTTTTTCTGTGTTCTTGTCAGTTTCAAATAGTCCAAAAATGCACAAAACTGATTTGAACGGATACGTCTAGTTTCTGTATTGATTTTTCAGGTGATATTTATGCCCATATCTTCACATCTGCTATCTCAGGTCCCTTTAAATTAATACTTCAGGGATTTTTAATGCCACTTGATGGCAGACCAAATGTAATATTTATATGCAATGAGCTGTTAGTTTTTTGTATTGTAAAAATGTAAATTTGTAAAGATTTTTTTCTAGAGTTTTTTTGAAGTCACTTATGTAATTTAGGATGTTTCATTTTCCAGCTGTGGGATTGTCTTAATAAAAGAGATAAACTCTTTCTTTGATTTTTGCATTACTTATTAAACAGTTTAGACATTGCAAAGACAAAAAAGCTAATTATGAGCTTTAAGCAAGCATACGAAAAATCATCTTTTGATTTAACTCTGGATAATCCACATTGAAGGTACAGAAGACTTTCTTTCTTTTTAGCAATCTGCTCTAGAAATTGTTGGAAAACCAGTTTATTGGTCAATAAAAAGAAAGCTGCCTCATTCCACATTGTAAGATCTCCAGGCCATAGAGGGAAAGCAGTGTAAGGGACAGGAGAATCCACCTGTTTTCATTTAATTTACTAGTTAGTGCTGGTAGAGCAGGTTACTTGACTGACAAGGAATAGAGTGCCAGGGAGTTCTGAACACGCTAAACAGGACTTTTTGCCCCTAGCTTCATGGCACTCCTGCAGATATTTTCCACTGTGATGGACCTTTCTCTAAGTTGTGTGTAGATCATTATTATCTTAACCAGTCATTCTTCAGTGTTTGAGAATGGAGACCGATGTTGAGGAACTGGTCCCAGCAGTACACTTGCAGATTGGTTGTCAGGTCAGCAGAAGAGGAGGCCCCCCCCTCCATGCTTTCCCATCCTAGCCACACCATTAGGGTCACTTCTGCTCACAGGAAAACACAATAATCTATCCTTTTATTGAAAAGATCATTTTTAAAGGGTTCATCTTGGCGTGAAATCTGTATGAAGCTAACTGGAATAGTTGGGTGATGCTGTGAGAGAAGATGAGGAAGGTTTCTTCCAGATCTTCAAAACAAGAGTTGGATATGGATCTGCATTACAGACCTTCCCTTCCTTTCCCTCTTGTGAGAGTTACTTAAGCCTTGAGAGTAGGTATAGTCTGTGCACCTTTTCACAAGGGGCCAAATATCCTAGGTGGCCCATGAAGCTGTAGGATAATTAAGATGCCCCAAGGAACAATGTAGCTAACATGACAGCCAGGAATGGAAAGAGGTGACTAACTGTTAATCTGAAATCAGGCAGAAGGTAGGGTAGACTATAGACTAATTACATCAGAGATGCATAAGCTTTTGTAAGCAGCAGCTTACTTTATCAAATGCTTACAAAATGACTGCAGTAAGTAGAGCTAAATAGGAAGCAGTGATTAGAATACAAAGGGGAGTAGGGAAGGGAGCTTATCTACAGCTTCCCAACTTCAAATGCCATCTTTCCAGCAACAGACTACCTAACTTCTATTCTTACCGAGGCGCCAAGCCTTGCTCCGGAGCCAGATGCCAGCTGTGCCCCTCATCAACACAGACCACATAATCGCTGGACAAAATATGCATTATAACATCCAAGGTTCATTCACCTGTCTTACCTACATCATATATGCTGTCACCTGCTTACAGTGCCCCTCTGCTGCCTACATTGGACAGACCCCAACGTAAAAGAATGAATGAACATTGATCTGACATCAATTCCAGAAAGACATGCCTGTGGCAGAACACTCTATCCTTTCTGAACATTTCGTTGGTGATCTCAGAATAGCTATTCTTAGCTAACAGAACGACAACAACAAAAAAGCAATAGAAAACTGCAGAACAAAAAAGTTACAGACTTGATTGTGTCAAGTATGGTCTTAAACCAGTTGTTCTTAACCTTTATTTAGGCTCAAGGCATCCATCACTAGACTCAACATACAGTTAGTTAGACTTAGGGTATCCTTTGGAGCATGTCATCTCGTACTTTTCACTTCTTTTTTTACTACAGAAAA